TAAAAAAAATAAAGATAGGCAAAATAAAAAAAAAGTGCTTCAACACACAGAACACAATTAAGTGCCTTAACAGTTCTTTTTCACTTATTTTTTTTCATCTTTCACAATATATAAATGTATTATATAATAAAATTTCTCCAAATATTTTGTAAATGAATGTCTTTAATAAACACACTTTTTTGGGGGGGGCAGAACTGGGGATTGAACTCAGGCCCTTGCACTTGCCAGGGAAGCGCTTATTCTACTGAGCTATCTCCCTGGCCCCAATAATCGCATTTTTAAATGTTTTATTCTTTCTATTACAAAGATAGAATTCTTTTTTGATACTGGAAATTGAACTCAGGACCTCACACCTGTCAGGTAGGCGCTGTGCCACTGAGCCATATCCAGGCTATCAAGATAGAATTCTTTTACCTGTACTTTCAACCTGTCCTTTTCGTCTTATTTACAAGTTTGCAATGCTATTATGGGCTACTGGACTCTTTTAGAATATTTTGCTGAGTTTACACACCTATAATATTCAATAATGGAACTTAGAACAAATGGGGCATACCAATGAATGTCCATTTTGTATCTGTGTATTCAAAGTGGTTAGGATAGATATATAATTGCATTCTCTTAATGAATAGAATGATTTGTTCTAATGGTGTTTGTAAATAGGATCTCAAGTCCGCATCTTGTACAGCAATTAACTACTAAGAAGAATATATGCAGTGTATTATTTGTTGAAACTATACTTCTGATTTGATTTGAAACTGTCTCATTGCTATCTGTGTATCAATAAAATTTTGAAAAAAAAAACCCAAACAAACAAACAAAAAAAACAAGTTTGCTGCACGTTAACCACTGTCTTCTGCTGCTTCAAACTACTGTTTCTAGATGCCTTTCCCCTCAAATGCTCACTTTTTCCTCTCATCTAACAGACACAAGGTTTCAACATCATTTACTAAGGCTAATACCTTCTAATATGTGATGTATAAATTTACAAACTAGCACCAGTACCTGGTACAGTATTAACTGTTCTTCCTTCCCTTCATATAGCAACTATCCATATAGTCTGGTTTTTTTTTTTTTTTGAGACAGGTCTTGCAATGTAATTCAAACTGGCCGAGAGCTCTTTTTTTTTTTTTTTTTAATGTATTTGGTATGAGGTCTCACTATGCAGCTTGTACTCATAGTAATCCTCCCGTTTTTTAATGGGTGTATACCACCACGCCTGGTCTCTGTGGCCAGCTCATTGTGCCCAGAGCTGGGGCCAGTATGGTATGTGGTGTTGGAGACAGAACCCCAGTCCCTGTGTGCTTAGTCTGCTGAACTATCTTGTTGGCTGCTGAGCTCGCTCTGTAGCCCAGGCTGATCTTGAATGCTCAATGATCCTCCTGCCTCAACCTCCCAGAGTGCTAGGAATACACGCTAAAGGCATGTGCCAACACGCCCAATTACATAGTCTTTCAAATTAAAACCTCCATAAAGACTACATTTGCTACCTTTCATTTCACTCTCTCCCATCACCACCCAACCCTAAGGTTTGAATCCTATTACCCTCAGAAAACTTCAAGGCTTTTGCTTAAGTCTTTAGCCTTCTACTATACTGATCAGTTCCCTGTTATTGTACAAAGTATTAACTTCAGGTAACGATTAAAATGGAAAGATTTCCCATTCAAATTCCAGCTCTGCTATTAGTTAGCTGTATCCCCTTGGGTGAATTATTAATTTTTTTTTTTTTTGCAAATCAGCTTCTTTGTTGTAAGTGGATATCCCTGCAAAGTTGTAGAAATACTTATCTATGAAGTTAAATGTACACAAAGAGCCCAACATGCTATACATGTTATATTAATTCTCTTTTCTTTCCTTCTCTGAATTTTCTCCAGGGCCCATCTGTGAGCAACTCCCAGACATTTCCCTCTGTGTCTTGATTGCCTTCAAGTTTGAGTCTTCCAAAAATATCCACATGGCTGTTGCACAAAACTGAAAATCAACCTGCTCAAAAATCAAATACATTTTCTTCACTAAATATACTTCTGATGGCTGACTTACAATGGTATCATCACTGACTTGGCATTTAGTGTTTGTTTGTTTTTGAGACAGCGTCTCACTATGTAGCTGAGGTTAGCTTTGAATTCACTATATAACCCAGGATGGCCTTGAACTTATGGGAATCTTGCCTCAGACTTCTAAGTGCTGAGATCACAGGCCTGAGCCCCCATGCCCCACACCCCTACATTCTAAATGCCAAAACAGGCCAAGCATATTGGTGTATGCCTCTAATCTCTGCACTTGGGAGGCCGAGGCAGGAGGATTTCTGTAAATTTCAGACCAGCCTGAACTGCATAGTAAAACCCTGTCTCAAAGAAAAAAGAATATAGGGGCAAAAATGTGCTCATAAACCCATCAAACACCAAGATCTATGGACTCATTTGGCCCCCATCCTTCCTTCCTTTCCTCTCCTGAACTAAACTTGCGAAGTTCAGGTTTTACTTGCCTTTCCTACTTCAGTATTCAACTCAGTAACCTTTCTCAACCAAGTCTTTGCCTCCTACAACACCTACCAGGAAAACTAGTTTTTGATTTTATATTATCTCATACTCAAAACCTTCAATGTTTACTCACAGCCTAAAAACGATGAAATTCAAATACACTAGACATGGCACTTGTCAGGTCCCAAAGTATCATTTTTTACTTTACAGCAGCTTCCAGAATCAACCACTACTCATCCTCTGGTCACTATTTCCTATTTCCTAGAAGTCCTAACATCACTAACACCTCCATTTCCTCCCAAATCTTCACTGATTCCCTATGGCCATCCTGCAGTATACAGAAAGGTCCAAAATGAAGTTGTTTCATCATAGATTCAAGTTATTTGCTTAAATCTTATGCCCTGTACTAGATTATAGACTCCTAAATAACAGAGACCCCACAGAATTCAGAACAATCATATAGGTACTCAAATGGTTATTAAAGACAGTTTGCATTTGGGAGACCAGAAGTTACAAGAAAACAGTTAACACTGTATGAGTGAGGAGAAGTAGTTGCCAAGCACTACAAGTCAAGCATACACAGAACTATATAAATTTTTGGGGCTGGGTTTGAGATAAGTGCAGTGGAATAAGTGCTTGCCTGGCAAGCACAAGGTCCTGAATTTGATCACTGATCCCACCAAAATAAAAGACTATTGGATTTTTAACGTCTTACTTAATTTCACCAGAAGCTGTGATTTAGCAGAACAGAGGTATAGCTAATAAACATGCATTTTTAAAGACTAGACATATAAAGGAAAATGTGGAGTAACAATGAAAAAACGCTAATCTTCCACATTTAAAAAAGGTCACTTCCCCTTTTCAAGGACTCAATACCATTTCTAATGTGTCTAAAATCTGTAATACCTGAAATGATAAACACTAAAAATCTTCCTCCTTGATCCTTAAAAGCATCCAGTTTTTATCTTGGGGAAAAATGTGCTCAATATTCTTCAACAATTGTTATATCATTTGTGTTTTTATTCATCTAAGAACTGCATTTGGCAGGCACCTGCTATGATCGGAGAAAAAAGTAGACACGGCAGAAACTCCCTGCCCTTGTGGAGCTAAAATTCCAGTGAATTTTACCATCAGGAAACGGAGTAAACGTCCAACCTTGAAATAATAATATGGGACATTATCATAAATTTTCTGGCAACCAAATATTAGGAAATATATTTTCGAAATCGTCGCCCCTGAATTTTCTTCAAGATGCTGTCCAATACCAGTTTCAAATACTACAGTTAATAATTTTCTTCAGTTGAAGAAAAATTTCAGAATGTGTATAGCAGTGAATGAACTCAAAGCATTAAACTGGAGGGTCCCACAGTATGGCACTACAAATAAGACTGTTGTCTCACCACGACGCTGCTACAAAATCTCATCATGAGATGCAGTAATTTTTTAATGCCACATCAACTTATTTCCAGTAACTCCGATTTTCTTAATGTTGGCTTAACTATCTGTATTTAAAAAGGAAGACAATTCAACTCTATCCGCCACGCTAGTTTCCATTCCGTAACCACATTTTAAAGTATCAATGGTCAAGTCCCTTTTTCCCGAATGCACTCTTAGTATTTAAGTAAGATGGTGCAGACCCTGCACTCCAAAAGCAGCACCTGGGAAGAATAGAACTACATCTAAAGAACTTTAAGGGGGCAGGGGGCTTTGTTCGCGGTTTGGGGAGGTCTTCACTGTAAAATTATCCGCAGAAAGAAACCGAGGGCTAACTACATGCAGAGGAGCTGTGAGGGTAGGGAATTGCCAGCCAGAGCCGGCTTCCTAGCGGACTAAGTAAGGCGGGGCAAACACTCGTCTCTTCCATTCAACTTTTTAGGTGTCACGTTGGGGCCCTAGATCCTATAAGAGTTAGGTTCACGACTCAAAGATAAGAAGCCACCTCTCCTCGTTCGTGAACCCTCTTTCCCAAGTGAGTGACTCTCACAGGGGTATGCACACACCTTTCCCAACTCCTCCCGACCCGGGATCAGAGTCCAGCTGCCGACAGGCCGCGGCCTGAGCAACAGGAGCCCCGAGGCCGCGACTCCGCCGGCCCGGCGACCCGCAGCCGCTCCCGCTCCCCGCCCCCCACCTCACGCGCTCGCCCGCGCTCTTTCTCAGCCTGGTGCGGGCTGCCGGCATCGCGGAGCCGATAACGGGGCCGAGGACAGAGAGCTAGAGCGCTCCGGCACGAAACGGGACCGAGTTCGCGGCAGCTGCGCGAACGCGGGCTCGAGGAGGCCGGAAGGGGGCGAGGGGCCACCCTAGGTCGTCGGCCGGGGTGGGCGGTGGGGGAGGGGTGTGGGGTCAGTTCTGGTGGCCGCGACCTCTCCCGGACCACAAGGCCACTCCGCGCAGGCCCGGCCGCTCCGGAACCCGGGCAGGAAGCGTCCCCACCCCGATCAAAGCTTCAAACCTCGGCGGCGGGAGAAGCGGGCCCGGTTCCCGCAGCGGGCCCGCACCCCTGCCCCGAGCAGCTCTCACCTCCTGGTTGAAAGCGTTGACGGCGTCCATGTTCGCGCTGCGGCGGCGGCTGCTCCCGGCCCGCCGCTCACATAGACCTAGCGCCGCGGCGAAGCAGAGCAAGGAACCGGCCGGGCCTGGGTGGAGGGCGACGAGCGGCGGAGCCCGAGGCCGGGCAGGAAGGGGCTGCGGCCGAGACGGAGAGGCAGGCGGCCGAGCAGAAGCAGAGGCGGAGGGGTGGCGGGCTCCTTCTCAGTCCCGTTCGCTGGGCGAGGAGAAGGAGGCGGCGGCGGCGCTGGGCTCCAACATGTCCGTTTGGGGGGGGTGGCTGCGCTCTACGTCTCGCTGACACAGTCCCCCGCGCCCTCACGCACTCGCCCACACTGGCCCGGCCGGCGAGCGGGCGGGCCTCTCTCTAGCTCTCGCCAGCGGGATGGCGGCAGCGGCCGACTCCACGCCGCGCGGAGCACCCTGGGACGGCAGAGGCCTCCAGTGCTTCCTGTGCTCGGCGCCGGCCCCGCCCCACCGCGCCAGCCCCGCCCTCGCCCCGCCCCGCACGCCCTTTCACCGACGCGTGACGAGACGACGTCGCGCGCTTTCCCGCCGTTGACGGCTGGCGGCGGCCGCAGGTCGCATTAGACGTCTTGGTATCCTGGCCGCGACTGCGAGGGGCGCTGGAGAGCACGGTGTCCCGGGGCCGCGAGGCAGGCGCTGAGGAGGCGTGGTGCGCGCCCCCGCTCAGCGCGGAGCTCCCGCGGTGCGTTTTTGTTGCCTTTGTGCCGGGGTAGGCCGTGTCCCGGGCTGGGACGGCTGGCTCCGAGCCTCTCTCTTGCCGCTGTCCGGAACAAAGGGGGCAGACTTTAATCTTGCCCTCTGCGCGAGTTTTTGCAGTCTCCCGTGCCCGCTGCTGAAAAGGAGGGAAAGTCCTCCGATGCTGCTCTGTGTCTACTCTCTGGGTTAATTCTGCGCGAGCTGAAACACCGCGGAGGACCGGCGGGCACTGGGTGTCCACGCAGACCTAAAGGAAGCCCTGTGCAGCCTTGGACGTAGGCGGGGAGTGCCGGGGGTGGGAGTAGTTTCCTGAAACTCTGGCTTTGGTTCCCCGAACTGAGTGGTTCCCTTTACGACCGAAGCACTTTCTTTGAATACCTGCTGTCTCCAGGCATTGTGCGAGTTGTTTGGAATTTGAATGAAGAGATAGACACCGCCCCCCCTTTTGCCTGCAGGAGAGAGGACGGGCGAGAGAATTACAAAAGCATGTGTAAGGGGTAAGGCCCTGGAGAGAAGCTAAGGTATGCATCCAACCAGCTGGAGTTTAGGAGAGGAGAGCTAGGACTGAGACAAGGTCCTAAGGAGCCTTTTCTGTTCTAAAGCATTGGGAGAGTGGCGTTATATAATGTGCTGCCTCTGGAGAACGGTGTGTACTAAGTAGGAGTCTGGGAGAGCATGCTGTACTCCCTGGGGACGAAGGACTGACGCTGAAGGCAGGTAGGGCAGAGCATAGATACTTAGAAAACAGAACAGATGGTCGGAGGCATCGTACCTGAGGCTGAGAAAACAAGGTGTCACTGGTGCTCAAGGTTCTGGCTTGAAGAAGGGCTTGGTTTATGATTCAACAGGAGGCTGTATGGGCAAGAAGGTATGAGGAAAAATATTTAACACTTTAGATCCCTTAGCACATGTCAATGTCTGTCTGACATACAATTTTTTACTACTACTTTTAATCTCCATAACAGGCTTCTGTGCCAGGTGGCTGTTAGTGGTGCCCTTGTTTTATTTGAAGTGAAGTGCAGTTCCGTTAACTCATGTACCTAAGGCCGAACAGCTGGGTGATTGATGTTTGGGCTGCCCTTGGAACAAATAAGTGAGGATGTCTAGGAAGCAGTTGGATGAGCACGTGTGGAGTCAGGAGAGAAGGCTGAGGGGAGGCAGGCCTGGGACTCATTAATGCAGCAGTTGGAGGAGCTGCAATAGACAGGGGGCAAGGCCAGGATGCAGGTGTTTAAAGAAGGTTGGGGTAAGAAGAGTCGAAATACGAACTCTAGAGAAATTACAGCTCTGTCCAGTGCTGAAAGGTAGAAGTCTAGCATGACAGCAATTTTAAAGCACCTTGATAGGATAATTACAATTGACTACAAGTAAGTGAATATTGCAAAACTCAAGTGAAAAGGAATTTGGTTATGGGGCATTGGAGATTGAACCCAGGACCTTGCACATGCTATGTCAGCCTTCTACCACTGAGCTATACTCCCAGCCCATGAGAATTTTGAATGTGCCCAACAGGAAGAAGTGATAATTTTCTACAGTGATGGTTATGTGCTGATTAACCCAATCTGATCATTGCACATTGTATTTGTATACGTGTGTTGAAATATCACACTGTACCCATGAGTATGTTCGGTTCAACTTAAAAAATTGGAAAGAGCCTGATGTGTTTAGTATTTAAGAGCTCATTCTACACCTTGGCTGGAGAAGGGAAGATGGAAATTTTAAAGAAACCTAGCGTGAGTTATGAGGATGCCAGGAAAAGCTGCATTATGAAGGGAAAATACTTCTTTTAAGGTAGATGCAATGTACTTAATTATTTGTTAGCAAACTAGATCCTAGGGCTGGTGAGATGGCTCAGTGGTCTAAAGCATCTACTTAGAACAAGCTAAGCTAAGCAAAGCACAGGGACCACGGTTCAACCCCCCAGCACCACATGCCAGCCAGCCTCCGCCCCCTGGTGGGCTGAGCTGGCCACACGCACACACAAAATAAATAAATAAAATAAATAATAAATAGAAGAGGTGGGGGGCCAGGGAGATAGCTCAGTAGAATAAGCACTTGCCTAGAAAGTGCAAGGTCCTGAGTTCAATTCCCGGTACCGCAAAAAAAAACAAAAACAAAAAAAACTAGATCCTAAGTTTTATTTTTATTTTTTTATTTTTGTTTTTTTTTTTCCCTAAGTTTTATTTTTAAGTCCACTCATCTCCCCCCCCCCCCCGCCCGACAGAACCGGGGATTGAACTCCGACCCTTGCACTTGCCAGGCAAGTGCTAATTCTACTGAGCCATCTCCCTGGCCCCTCATCATCTATTTCATATCACTACATTTTTATTTCAGCTGAACCACCATGGTATTTTCTAAATCTATTTTGCGTCTGGAGGAGCTGTTGGCCTTAGAACTGCCAACGGTACATTAAAAGGCACAGACATAGGGTCCGGGGAAATAGCTCAGTAGAATAAGTGCTTGCCTGGCAAGCGCAAGGGCCTGAGTTTAATCCCCAGTTCCGAAAAAAAAAAAAAAAACAAAAAACCACAGACATTATATGTTTATCACCAACCCTTGGCTTTTCTGGATAACCACTGTTTGCTGAATATTAGCCAAGAGCCTCATACCGTGTTTCTACCCTAGGGCACGGGTACAACTCACTTTTTATTTTCTGCACCCATCTGGGAATTGCCAAAAATGCTCTCATATAAAAACTCCTGGGCTGGCAAGATAGGTCAGCGGACTAAGCGCCTGCTTAGGCAAGTGCAAGGACCAGGGTTCGATCCCCAGTCCCGCTAGCCAGTGACCCAGTCCGGGTGTGGTGGTGCATGTCTGTAATCCCAGCGCTGGGGAGGTTGAAAATGGGAAGATCACTTACCAGTCTGAGCTGCACAGTGAGACCCTGTACCAAATACATAAATGAAAAAAGAAAATTCCTCCTTGTTCCTCTACATAGGCAAGACCACTTAGCATCTAGAAACATTCAGAAGTCACTTCCTTTCACGCATTAATCACATATTTCATGCCTATGTATTATCAGGCTCTGTGCTGACAAGTTTATCTGCCTTCCTTGAGCCAGTATCAGAATCTCCCACCATGCACTTCTTTGACCTACCTACAACATTTGTCACCTTGGCTTTCTACTGCCTGAAACAGTTTGCATTCCACTGTGTTCTGACTTCACTTCTTTCTGTGAGCAGTGCGAGATCTTAAAAATTGGTCCATAAAACTGAATAGGTTTCTCCTTCCCCAGCTCACACAAGCAATTTTTCTCATCTTGTCAATCAGGGAAATTGATTTGGTTAAGCAAGGATGAAATCTTTTTTATTTTTTAAAGAGAGTACAAAGTATTAAAAATTACGAATGATTGAGAACTTCATTAAACAAACTAGTATGAACCTTACAGTATTGGATTGCATAGTGTTGTCTTCAAATTAGTTGTTCATATTACCAGATATATACATGAAAAATTGTAAGTAAAAATATAAGAGAAAAAAAAGGAAAAAGAATTGAAAAAAACCCAAAACAAATAAAACATTAATTGCCCCTTTTCATAGTCCAGTAGAAATCCACAGTACCGTTGTCCAAATCATTCTGCTTACATATGTAGATATCTCTCCCCCACCCATACTCAATTCAGTAATTCCTTCAGCAAGGATGAAATCTTGAACTGGAGTGTGAAAGAGGAGCTGGGGGAGGGAGGTGACAAGTGTAGCTTTGGGATGTGGCCTGTTGGGGACTCAGTGTGTTATGCCTGTTAGACTCTACTGACTGTTGAATGAGGGGATAAATGGTCCGGTTTGTAGGGATATCTTCCATGTACCATTCTATTGAGAGTTGAATGCACAAGGAATAAAATTTGGTTTTAAGATCCACATGTTTGAGGTAGATAAGAGATACTTTTTTGGATGGGGTTAACAGTATTTGCGAGGTCTTCAAAGAAGTTTTTGGATGTATGTTATCAGCTAGACTTTGGGTGCATTGGCAGCATATTCCAGCATTTTTCCATTCTGAAGATAGCTGCATCTCTATCTGCTCTGGGACATCTGGCAGCCCTTCGCACAGCTATTACTGGACTTCCATCTCTGTCTCTGGGCAGGTGAGTCAAATCTTCCCGTAAGAAAATTTTGGCAAATGACAAAAACTCATGAAGGGTGTCCTTTATGAGCAGATCTCAAAGCAGTAGGAATGCAGCCTATTTTAAAAAAGGGCTAGAGGAGCTAGGTCACTAATGTGATCAATAAAGAATCAGCAAGACAGTCATCCCGCTTGCGAACTTTCATTCTCTCAAAGAACAGAAATTTGAACATATATTTACATGTGGGTATGAAAATAGTTCTGAAAAACCATTCTGACCAAACTTGCATTTTTGAAAAAGGTAGATGAAAGCATGAGTCAGAGGACTGAAGAGCATTCAGCAAGTTGTATTCTGATTAGTTCTGTGCCTCTTATCAACGCATTGTCCTGAAAGAGATGTTGGCTACAACCCATAAGGATACACAATATGGAGAGAACCAAGGAAATATTTCAAGATAAGGATTTAAGAGAAAATGGATTTTTTTTTTCTAATTCTTCATCCCCAGTGGAGCCCAGTGATGTCCTTTTTGTGCAAACCTCTGTCTTCATGCTCTTTTATGCTGCTTGTGCCAAAATCAACCAAACTG